TACTAACGTACACGCATACGACAACATAGGTAGGACTTAGATGAGAAAAGAAACAATCTCTACGTACACGCATACGACATACATAGGGTGATTGATGAGAAAAGAAATATCTCTACGTACACGCACACACGACAAACTGATGTGAAAAGAAACATCGCTACGTACACGCACACGACAAACTGATGTGAAAAGAAACATCCGTACGTACACGCATACGACATACATAGGATGATAGATGAGAAACATCTCTACGTACACGCATACAACAAACATAGGGCGATTGATGAGAAAATAAACATCTCTACGTACACGCATACGGGTACATACCCCGAGCGAGCAGGCTCAGCTAGGCGTATGTGTTAACAGACGTATCTCATTCCTATAATTATAGCTACAATTAGACTATGCTTCGTACAGTACATATGTAATAACAGACACAAACCTCGTTATAATAACTAAACCCTACAGACGGATTAACATACCAACCCATACTAACATAACAGGGTAAATGTATATGCACCTATGCATGTATCCGTATGGCACTTACAGAGACAGATGAAGAGCAGGCTGAGCATGACGCATTTGATGACAGACACTTGCCCCATTAGAGCCACCGTCAGAATCACCACATAACACACTGACAGCCACCCAGCCAACGTCACCTGCAGCAACGCCTGGCATTAGTAGGTACGCACACGGATATGTGAGAACGAATATGTGCTTGAGTGTGGTTATAAATGGGAGCGTGGCGTGAATGTATTTAAGCATGTATGAATGTATGTATGTATGAACACACACGTACTACTATCATCACATGACACACCGACAGCCTCCCAGCCAACGTCACCTGCACCAACGCCTGGAATTGGTAGGTACGCACACGGATATGTGAGAACGAATATCTGCTTGAGGGTGGCTATAAATGGGAGAGTGAATGTACGTAAGCATGTATGAATGTATGTATGTATGAACACACACGTACTACAAACATCACATGATACACCGACAGTCACCCAGCTATAGCCACCAGCAGCAACGCCTGGAAGTTGCATTTCTGTAAAACGAAAAAGCGAGAACGTCCACGCTCATAAGCATGCACATCGCAAGTGTACGTAGATATATGTATGTCCACACCAGAGTCACCAGCTACCACTCGGTCCATACCACCCATACTATAGCGTCTAAGTGATTTGTGTTTAAATAACTACGAAGACTTGAGACGGGTTCCACTAGTATGTAGGCATAGAAAGGGTAGGCACAAAGGCGCCAAAATGTAATTACACCGACTACGCAACACACAGACATCCAAGCGGCCACAGTCACATGTGGAGCTGCCGTGGAGTGTGCACATCTGCTGAGATGTGATGGGGCGGTTGTGTTAAACAGATGCGGATGTGGATATACACGGAAGTATAAGCACGAAATGCATTTGAGAGATGTTTGGTGCATGCATGGAAGAGTGACCATGTGTGTATGTATATGAATGGTGTATGGAAGTATGCCCACATAGACGCTTGGGTGCATGCATGAAGGAGTGACCATGTGTGTCTGTATATGAATAATGTATGGGAGTATGACCACATAGACGCTTGAGTGCATGCATGAAGGAGTGACCATGTGTGTAGGTATATGAATGGTGTGTGGAAGTGTGACCACATAGACGCTTGGGTGCATGCATGAAAGAGTGATCATGTGTGTAGGTATATGAATGGTGTGTGGAAGTATGACCACATAGACGCTTGGGTGCATGCATGAAGCTGTGACCATGAAGTTAGGCTAATTTCTAAAACTTTAACCCCTATATGATACAACTGCATGCCTAATATGGAAATAATGAGGAGTACACACCCATTCCATTGCAGTCGCACCCAAAAACAAGCCAGTGTACCGAACATCCACTCAAAGGCATCCTTCTCCGTTGCCAAATCACCCCACACCCCACACACCACAAACAGCTATTAATAGAATCTACCTACCGATGCCAGCATGCCAAACCTCCTCTCAAAGGTATCCTCCTCCCCCCCCAGCCCCCGGGGCCCTCGGCGTGCGGTCGCCTGCTGTTGCTGTACGAGGTGTTGTCTGTGTAGCACAGCTATTTTAAAGAACATGTTCTGTAGTACAGTCGTTGCGAGGATGGCCAGGTGCCACGCCACGGCGCTCATGAGAGGCGTGTGGGGGCCTAAGTCAAGGCCAATGACGATGGCTACGTCATTGTCTATGTACGCTGTGAAGGGATGGAGACCAAACGGGCGTGTACGTTGGGTGAATGTGCGTGCGTATGTATCTCTATCTCTGTGTGTGTGTGTCTGTGTATACGTGTATACGTGTTCTTGTCTATGTACACCGATGTGTATGTGTTTCTGCAGAATGCGTTTACGGCAATGTGGTAGCTAGAGTTGTCGAGGATTAAGTCACAGCACTCAGTGAGAGATTTGCACGGGCTTAGAACCAACCCAATCACAGCGGCACGGCCGTCGTCGGTAGACACAGTGGTAGTATAAAAAATAGTAGACACATACAGGTATACATCCGATACTAAGTATACATATATATATATTATATATATATATATATATATATATATATATATACCGGAACACACCATTGAGCCAGCGGAATTGGTACAGGTAGATCGCCAGGATGATGCCTTCGCAATAGTACACCAGCCATGACCAGAAACGCTCAGCCATATTGGGACTGACAATAAAGCACAAGAAGAATCCCAGATAGACAGCGTTGAATAAGGAGACCTGGATTCATACATGCATGACAATGTGAATAGGTATAGAGATAGGCAGTATCGCTGGAATGATATATATATAGGTAAGGTGTCGAAAGAGCGTAGCTCGAATTGAGTTGTTTACACTTGTAGATGTGCTTGACAGGATAGGGACTGCAGCATGCTTATATACTGATCTGCGGTTGGTAATATCGAACGCTATAGGCTACACGTGCACAAATACGTATTAGCTTACATACACACATGCATAGGTGGCCGCTTACATACATACGTACATACATACTCGCACGCATACATACATTAATTCATACATGCATTCATAGATACATACATAATTACGCATGCACTTGCAAGCTCACCTGTTGTAGACAGCAGATGAACAGCAGTACCAAAGCCGCGAGGTATGTGTACTCGGAGATACGGTTGAAGATCTCAAACACCTTCAGCAGTACACGCTCGCGCAGGGGCTGCGTCTGTTTGTTCTTCACAGTCACCCACTGAATAAAAAGGAAGAACCAGTCGATCAATATATATATATATATATATATATATATATGGATGTATGTATGTATGTATGTATGTATGTATGTATGTATGTATGTACGTATGCATGTGTGTATGTACGTATGTATGTGTGATAAATAAACGCAGCCTGTCTCTGTCTGTTTCGATGTCAGGGATCGTGCTACACTATGGGAGAGATGGTTAACGACAGATGACTGTGTAGATGGATATTGCCAACGGTTTCATATAGTACAATGTTAAACGGTCGATATGTACCATCCAGCACTTCACTCACTCTTCCCGTGTGTGCATAATTGATGCCGAATAAATCGGTGCATTTACCAATACTTGCAGAGGTGTATATATATCTTTATATACAATCATATATCTCTTTATTTACGTATGGATAAAGTATATACGAATTGACCTTATTGTTTGTGTCCAGATATTCGGTGCATAAATGTAAATACCAAACAAAGAAAACAGCATATGTAACGCTAAATACGTATTAATAAACTTACACGATTATTCGTGTGTATTTGTATATACAAATGTACAAACATATATACATTTGGGGAATAAATGTAAGTTGCTGAGTAAGTCATAAAGGACCGTTTTATGTATTGCTAAAAAATATACGTATCGTTATTCCAGTACTGATAGACACTTTATCCGTTATACAAACCTCTCTCTCACTGTCCGTGTCCGTATCGAGGTTGGTTTCGCTCGAATAGTCGTTTTGGTCAAAGTAGTTGTCATGGTAACGCATCTCGTTCTGGCCAGAGCTGTCATCTGACTGGCTATCACTCTGTGAAAGTGCAGCAAACGAGTGGGAAATAAATCAGGAATTAAGCCAAAGGAGGTCTTGTCTAAGAATAGGATCAAATGATGGACGTTTAACGAATTTGCAGGGGACGAGTGGACAATAAACCAAGAATTAAGCCAAAGGAGGTCTTGTCTAAGAATAGCATTGAATGAGGGAAATTTAACGAAGGTGAAGGGGACGAGTGGACAATAAACCTGGAATTACGCCAAAGGAGGTCTAGTCTAAGAAGTTAAGAACAGCGTTGAATGATGAACATTCAACGAAGAGTAGAAAAATAGTGAACAGATAACCAGGACCTTAACTACAGGATTTGTTTAAGTTACGAAGTATCTTGAACAGCGGACAAACAAAGCGGTCTTGTTACAAGTGCTTGGAAAAGTGGACAGTTATCGAAGAGCCGAAGGTTCGTGAACAATCAACTAGGAATTCAGACTTAGAATATTTTTGTTGAGAAGTGCATTGAATATTGGACAAGAAACAAGAGTTGCGTCACAGGACAGTGTGAGAGCATTTCAGGTTTGGAGTTCTAGTTATTCCTACACATCATACTCTGAGATCGCGTCTATTTTTAGAAAGCACACGTTAGTTACACGCTCACACGCACACGATGCTATCACTCTCTGACACGTTAACCAGAAATGGAACTAGAAATAAAGAAAAACTCGAAACAAACAATACAGTCTTGTGACAATCCCCTTCTGAACCCGATTTCCCCCACCCGATTTCTGAATATTTCCGCTGTAGCGACCACTTCCGAATCTCGATTTGATTCGTCCTGGTCCCTAAAAAAAACGCCCAAAACACACACCTCACTCAGCAATGCGCGTTGGTCGTCTGCATCCGGACTTTCGGAGTTGGTGTCAATACGAATTGGCCGTGATTGGGGATTTTGCGGTTTCTGCGGTCGGGATACCATCCGTTGTATGCCTGAGACGGTAAACAGAGAGAGCAGCCATAGTCAGCCTGCCATGTGGACATCCAGGTCTATGATACTACATACATATATGTAAATACGTCCATCTATAGATATGTATACATAGGTGGCACAGAATAAGATTGATGGTCCGTAATGATACATATATGTAATTACGTGCATCTATATATATGCATGGATAGATTTAAATACTTATGAGAATAGGCGGATATTAAAAGACACCTGTGTACGTCTTGGTCTGCGCGCGAAGGGAGGAAGGGGGGAGAGACACGACATTTATTCTTATTTCTGTAAAAGATACGATTGTGAGGTCACGTACTATGTATGATGGGAATACAGACAGACAACACAGAGACATATACATGCAACGTATATAAATTCACATACACAGAAATATGTACATATAATACACATATACACACATACCCGATCCCGGCAGCTCTGCAAGACTCGTTATCTCCTCCAAGTCAATCCACAAGTGACAGTATAGAGTACACCATGCAAACAAAGTCGTCATGCCCACCTGGCGATGGAAAATACCAAAATTATAAGAAGTCAAAAGGCCATGATA